TAGATGCCGAATGCAAGCGTGCGAGAATAACCGTGAGAGAGAATGTGAGGGTGATGTGTGAATCTTTTTAATTTTCGATTCTTTGTTGGACGCGAGGACAGCCCGTCCACCACGACCGAAAAGATGACACTACTAATGGAGATCACAAGCCGATTTTAATTCTAGCATCGACTGCTTGCGTGACATCGATGCAGAAGACGAACGTGATACAGTGAAGATCATAACCAATGAGAATGCGCGAGTAAATTGAGAGAGAGGAGGATAGAGCGACAATGATATAAATAAGCGTAAATATCTTTTTAAGACTTGTAAATGCAATATTATCTTATTATTATTGTCATCGTTATTATATTATATTGTTATAGAGTAATTATCATTATTACTGCTATGCTATTACGCGACTATCGTAATTACTATAAATCTTTGTTTCTTTTTCTTTTTTGCTGCAATTTTCGCAAGCAAGTCGCAACAAGTATTGTGATATAGAAATTTTGTGATATAGAAGTTAAATATCTTCGTCGAAGACACTCGCACTTTTCGCTCTCTCCTCTTCTATCCTCAGCAGGGCTGTTCATTTAGGACTTCAACGCGATTTCTGGAGGCCTCGCGTCGGCATCGTCGATGAAATTAAGTGGTGAGATTGCTCGAATGTCTTCATTAATAAACGCACAATTTTCTCAACCTTCGATCCCCTGCTTCTTTCTTCACGAGGAAATCTCCCTTAAAATCTGTGTAGGGTGGAGAGGTAAGGGCATGCCAGATCCATCATCAGCACAGCTGCGATCGTGCATGAATCTCTCCCGACCCTTGCATATGTTAAGACTTTCCAATTTTTATTTTTCAAAGCAATTGGTGAACTCCTTCAGCGCTGTGTGTACAGGTAAGTGTCAGCTAATTTTATAAATTCTCGATTAAACTTGGATTTATCTTGAAACAATATGATTGATTGAATTATATTAAACTATTTTAGGAAGAAATGTTCAAGAGAAGCATTGGAAACGCTACTATAAACACTAATTAACACACAATATAAAATTTTTAACTTCCAAGTATAAAGCCATCCATTTTTTTATTAGAAGCTGATTTACGTGATGTCATTAAATATAGAAATGTCATGCGTAACAATATTGCAAATTCACATGCAATATATTACAAAATATTATTACAAAATAATTAGAGCTGCCAAAAAATCCAAAACGATGATAAAAATATGATAATTAAATAAAATAATTTATGAACAAATTTATGTAGACAATTATTAACAACTGCCAGTAAAACAGCATAGAACTGTCAATAAAAATTATGAATATACTTTATATGTATAATTTATGATTTCGCTAGTTCTGTGTCGATAAAAAGTTAGATCGCTATCATTCGTGGCATCGCCACGAATAAAAATATTCTTCATAAAAATATATCCGTAGTTATATAATATATAATAACTGCAGCAAATTTTTGCATAACGCATAAAGCATAGTGCATAAGAAAATGAACCAATTAAAATCCTTTATTTCTTTCCTTTCCATAAAATAAAGGACTCTGATTGGTTTTTTTCTTATGCCTCATGTTTTACGTGTTATGCAAAAATCTATACTCCCCGCGACTCTACTATCGCTACGATTTCTGTTGTAGACCCCGTAGAAGGAAAAAAGAAAGAATTTTGATTGGTTGATTCGCTTATGCTCTATGCATTATGCGTTATACAAAAGTCTGTGTTGCGTCCTTAATCAGATATGTAAATTTTGAAATATTCTGAATTTTATATAAAAGATGTGAAAATTTTTTTTTAAAAAGTTATTGTTTGATAGCGCGTATTCAGAAATTACACTGGCCAAGAAAAAAATAACGGAACCCACGAATGACAAAAAGTCAATATATTTAATGTAATAAATGTATAAACATTAATATCATGAACTCAACTATTGAAAAAAATTGAATATATATATCAATATCACAAGATTTAGTTGGTGCATAACATATAAGAACACTTATTTCTAAATGAAATTTAATATCAAAGAGTTAAATCGAATAACTTTAACGTTTCAAATAATTGTGAATGTAAGGATTGATCACATCAAAGAAAATATCTTGACTGACGCGAATAAAACTAATAAGGAATAACTTTTGTAAAGTGAATGAATAGCTATGAATAAGCAATCAATTAACTTAAATAAGTAACTGGTAATTAAATTGCTGAGAATAGTAAATTCGATTTGGCTCTAGTTCTCAAAACATAAGTAGGTTTATAATGGCAGCATAAGAAACAATAGTATAATACAAATACAAGCAAATATTATCAACCGTGTTGACAATAACATCCGACTGACGATACAGTCCATAAAATGAAGTAACACAACAAGGCGGAGATGGCGTATGCCAACGGAACTCAAGTTAAAATAAATATAGCGTAGATTGTTGTACTACTTGTTGTAGGTACTCATTCGTGAATGTTTATCAGTGTATCAGGGAGCTCCCATATGTCTTTCAACGCAAGAAATGTATGAAATTAAGGCATGCCCATAATGACGTTCCATGGATGCGAGCCAGGAATTCGCAAAATGTCTAAGCGATCGGCAAGAGAACTCACCGGCGCTATCCCGTGAAATGCAACTTTGTAAAGCAACTTTCCAGCAGAAAGAACTTTCCAGTTTAAAACAAATTTCTTATAAGAGAACTTTTCAGCGTAAAACAAATTTCAGCAATTTCGGTACATGCACGCATCATACAACTAATAAAAGAATGAAAAACAAAAGGCCAACAAAACGCCGCGCATGGTGATAAGGACGAGAGAAGGGATAACTGATCATAGATAGAACGCTATCAAACTCGTAATAATTACAAAATTATATGGAAAATCTAATCATGTGAAAAATTCTTTTTTTTATATATAATTTTATAGAATTTTTATATCTTAAAATATTTCAGAATTCACATTAAAGTCCGATTAAAGAAAGTTACTTTTTCTGTAGAATACAACCATTCTAAAATTATTTCCCTATTCGAGAAAAACTATTATTTCAAAATTAATATAATATGAAGTATTAATAAGTGATTTAATAGTATTATAATTTATGGTTTGTAAAATTTATGATTTGTAAAATTAATGTATTAAAGATTTTTAAAGAAACGCGTCATGAAGAAAGATTAAAGCCGCAAATTGAAAATACAGTTTAAATTATTTTTAAAGATTATTATTAAAGAATTATTAGATACATGTACAAGTAAATTTTACATGTTAAAAAGTTCATACAAAAATATATACTACAAAATATATAAAAAATATGTACTACAAAAAACATGACGAATGCAAGCAATTTGTTAAAGACAATCCACAAATATTGTTAACGCATACAGACCAGGGAAATGTTGTCATTATGGATAAATTGGATTATATTTATAAAATATAGAAAATATTTATTATCTATCATTAATATTTATACAATTTTAAAACATAATCCGATCAACAATTGAGAGGATCTAAGATCTTTGTTAAAAACTTGGAAACGATTAGAATTTGTGACTGATCATACATATAATTTTCTTAATTCAACAAGTGTTACCGAGGGCATATGGGTTGCCAAAAATCCATAAGACAGGAAACTCCTTATATATTAGTATCATCCAGGAAGTCTCTTGCATAATTTAACAGTTTTTTTACATAGAATTTTGGATTTTTATACCTTGAAAAACCGATGGGATAAATCAAAAATAGTTTTCAATTAGCTAATGATATATCTCAGATTTACTTATCGGATGATTTCATCCATGTTTCACTCGACATTATTTCTCTTTTTATTAACGTTCCAGATTTAGTCATTGAAAGCATCGATAGTCATTGGTTGAACAAAATAATATTAATCTATTTAAGATTGAATTTATTAAAGCAATATAAGATTAATGTTCAATTTATTCTTTATTTTTAATAATAATTAATAAAATAATAATTAGACATAATGTTAATAAGTATTACAAACAATCTTTTGAAGTACCTTTGGGGTTCTCACTATTCCCTATTGCAGTAAATTTAGTTATGCAAAATTTGAGGAAGGTTTCACTTAACAAATTAAAATTTAGGATTTTACTACAGATATGTAAATGATATTGCTCTCTTTCTATTCAGGAACAGAATATTGATACATTATTAAATATTTTTAATGATTTTCAATCTAGATTAAAGTTCACAATGGAATTTAGGAGCGACAAGTTGAATTTCTTGGATTTGATCTTAATAAAAAAAAGAAAATTAATATACATGATTGGTATCACAAATTTATCTTCTTGGTTATCTAAAATTTTTTTCTTATCCACACATTATATCATAAA